AAGAAACTTTGGATAATGTAAGTAGCGTTACTACAGCAAAAAAATGTCAAGATAATAACAAAATTTTATATGATTCACCTGATGAGATTGAGAAGGGCACAAAAGATGTAAGTAGTGCAGATGTAACTCAATCTAAAGTATCACCTAAGAAAAAGTTGAGAGAAAGTTTTAATAATAGACTACCAGTAAAATTACCAAAGAATGTAAATTATTTAACATATAAAAATCCTTCTCTCATGGATATTGATGCAAACAATAAATCATTAAATGAGTCTTCAGAAGTAAGTGGACTGGGTAGCTTAGATACCTCGTTAGTCAATATTAATTTAAAATCAGTGGGAGAAGCTCTAAAAAATAAATGTCATGAGGTATTACCATGTAGCACAGATGGCTGCAAGAAAAATGCATGCTTTTATTGTATTAAAAAGGCTATTGAAGATGAGAATAATAATATGACTATTTTATTTACAAAATTACCTGAGCATTATGACAAAAAACACCCTGAAGAAAGATTAGTTGTAAAACTCAAAAGATTACAAAATCAGAAGTTAAAATTAATTGAGAAAGGCAGTAATCATAAAGGTAAAAAAGTGCAGAACATTTTGACGAAACGAAAAAAAATCTTAGCTGTACTTAGGATTAAGGCGAACCATTTGAACAATTTACGTGCTAGAAGTGCTCAAGAATATGTTGTCCGTAGGCGACCAAAACAAAGTGGTAAAACTATTTCATCGTACTTACCTTGTTTTCACTGTACACAAGTTTTCTCTGAGAGCTCCTTGCGCAAACATGTCAAGTGCTGTTCAAAACTCTCATTCAAGAAGAAACACGTCGTAAAGTCAAGAGGAAGAGCAACTAACGGAGATTATCATGAGTCAGCATCAGAAGATTCTATAAAAATTATATCCAAAATGAGAGAAACAGAAGCTGTTAAAGAAATAAAGTTTGATAAGACGGTTTTTATGTGGCTGAATGCAGAAGCTACCAGATTTGAAACTCAAAAACATAATTATAAAAAAGTAAAAGCAAGTTTGAGTAGATTGGGCACACTTTTAAAGTTGATAAAGGAAATTAATCCAAATATTTCAGAGTTATGCGACGTATTCAATGAAAAATATTATGATGATTTTATCAAATCAGTGCGAATCATGGGAAAACCAGATCCAGATAGTAACTTTATGCAATCACCAGCAACGGCTAATGATATGTTTAATTTAATAAAACATGTGTACGAGATTTATGAAGTTAAAATTGGCCCTGAAGAAGAAGATAAAAGAAAATTGGTTCAAAGATTTGATATTGTTTTGAGAAAAATGTGGCATTATAGTATAGGCAAAACAATAGCTGAAACACAGGGTAGAAGAGACAGAAATAAAGTCAATGAATTGCCTAGTGACGCTGATACCATTTTGCTAAATAAACATTTACTGGAAGTGATAGTTGGCTCACATGAAAAATTAGATGAAAAGTATTCCGATGAACAATATGAGAGATTTCGTGATGCACTTTTAAGCTATTTGCAATCAGTAAATGCAAGAAGACCTGGTGAAGTAGAAAGACTTGAAAAGGAAGATTATGAACATTTGAAAATTCAGGGTCAGGAGTGTCTCATAATTCCACGTGGCAAACGTAACAGAGGTGTACCAATAGTTTTTGATTTGGATATAAAATTTTATTTAGATTATTTATTATCACTCAGGCCAAAAGCTTTAATTTTTGAAAACAATCCTTTCATTTTTGCTACCATACACGATGTGTCAGCAGATGAATTTGGATTTGTTTCTGCCTGTAATGTACTAAAAAAGTTTGCTACTAGTTCTAAAGCAGAGAAACCAGAAACATTAAAAGGTACACGCATCCGAATGAAAGTTGCTACTGTAGGAATGCAAAAAGGTCTCAAAGAGCCTGAAGTTCAAAATTTAGCCAGTTACATGGGGCATACACCAGGAATACACAAGCAAAATTATAGGCAAAGTGTTGTTGAGGTAAATCTTCAAGTTGCAAAACAAGTAAGAGAAGCTCAAGGGATATCAAATGGTTTTGATAGCACTGAAGAACCTGAAAGCTCTTTAATTAATGATCAATCATTCAATGATGAACAGCAATCAAGTGAAACCAACTATAATCCTATAACATCAGTTTCTGAATTCAAACAAAAAACTACCTATTCAAAAATTAATACCCCATCAATTAAAACTTTAAAATCAAAAAGAACCATCAGCTCAAATATTCAGATGACTTCAGGTACTAAATATTTACATATCTTTTTTTAATTCTCCTCAGAATATAGTATACAATCCTATTACTTTTTTGTTACAGCCTCAACATCCAAAAAATATCGTCCACTCAGAATGGAATGGAAAAAGCCAGCTATAAAAGCAGTATTAGAGCACTTTCCTAATGCACTAAACTTGCAATACAAAGTCCCTTCAGCTGTAGAAATTAATCATTTCTTAGAGATTACAGAAGATCCTGACCTTCAATTAAGAACCGAAGGCCAAGTACGTTCATGGATGCATACTCAGCGAAATCTAAAAAAAGGAGAAGCTGATGTACCTGAAAGAAATCATATTCCAGGCTACATTTACAGTTATTTCAAACAGTATATTGATGCTGGCAAAACTCCATCACATAAAAGATGCATTAAATTTTTAGCTGATTCACCATCAAAGTCTAATGTAACAATAAGCAATATCCAAACTTGGGTCGACTTGGCTATTAAAAAGAAGGGATCTAAAAAAGTTTCTGACAAAAATTGAATCATTTCTATATAGGCATAAGTATCAACGTGAAATTTAAGTATTATCTCTCTTTCATTTCAAATAGATTGTTCTCCTAGCAGGCATATAAAATAAGATTTTATTGTAATAACTAGTGCAGTATATACCTAATAGGTATTAACTTATTGCTTGTTTTCATTAATATATTTCTAGCTGTTTTAAAGCTTTAAAACATTCAATGATCAAAATTATTAGATTTAGGCGTTACATGTCAGTTTAACATTAATAATGTTTTATCATGGCTCTTCCAAATTACAATTGTAATTGTTATACTCTTAGTAATTATATATTAAAAATATATTCAATGTTATTAAGAAAACCTATTTTGAAGAAAAGTTAATAATATAAAATAAAGTAATAAAAATTTTATTATCTTAGCATATTGATAAAAATTTACTATAAATTTTGAGCACTGAGAACAGAGATTCAAAAAACTTATTTTATAAGTTATCATAATGCATATAATGCTAATGTGTTTCACAAGACAGCCTATATGTCAAATTATTTTTTTTTAATTTCTGAATAAATAAAGAATTTAAAAACTTGCTGTTCTATTTTTAATTTTATATTACATAATAATTTATATTGTATTCAAAATCATAGTCAAATAATTAAAATGTACATTACGTAAGCTCAAAAGTTAGTGAAATTATTTTAATTTAAAGAAATATAAACTCATTCAATTTTTAATGTTTAGCAAAAATTGTCACATATCACAAATAAGTATTTCATTATTTTGTTTATAGAATCTACAGGATAAAAATGAATTACGTAACTTTTATTTAATCTCAATCAGATGGAATTGATGGATGTCTTTAATTCCAATCATCACACGATTGGCCTTTATTTTATTTATATTGGTAATATTCAAAATAAATGTTAACACTTATATATTTTTAATATTAGATTAAATTTTATAGAAATCATATCTTTTTGCTGAATATTTTTTTTAAATGTAACATGTTGCTATTTATCACATTATATATCAATAACTTTTTACTATTTTTATAATTTCTACAGTCAAGGAATTTTTTCGAAAATAGAACCATTAAGAAATAATATGTAAACAATTTACTTTTTATTCATAATTATTGATTTGGTCTAAATATATAACTATAAAACATTTTTTAAATATTAAAATATTGCAACAAACATTTTAAATTATGGTGTTGATATATATTAAAATCATAAACTAAATGAAGAGAAAATAAAAATAGAGTAATCGGTATTCATATTACAAATTCTTTAGTAATTCTTTATATACTTTCAAGCTTATGACATCTCAAAATCTCAAATACCTTCAAATGCCCAATACTAAATTAAGTTAAAAATAATTCGTTCATGACAAAATTCTTTAAAAAATATACAAAAAATTTTGAATTTCAGGTATGATTTATTTATTTTAAAGTTGCTGCGTAATAAGATTTTTCAAAAAACTTTTTATATATGTTAAATACTTCTATTTGGAAGTAACCCTGGATTTCTTATCATCACATCACATCATCTTGATCATTTTATTTGATGGTAAATGTATTTCGTCATTTGCACCCAAAGGTAAACATTCCATCAAGTCTTTTTTCATCATAGCATCAAACTGAAACAAGTCGATTAATTTACAAGAAGAACACAATTTGAAAGCAATTTATTTTTTTAACAATGAACATGTAACGAGCAAATCTCGAAGAATTTTTTAAATATCGTACTTACCAATTTTTTGTATAAATATACTGGAGTCTCAGAGGTTCTTATATATATTTGCCTAAGAACCGTGGGATTGAGACATTGAGTCAAGCTATGTGTAGCTGGAATGCGGACAATTGGAATAGATATTCATGTCAGAGTCAGATGCTGTTTGAATCTTAAAATATCAACTTTGCTACTTTTGCTTTCGTAAACAAATAATAAATAATGTAAATTTGAATTTTTTATTCTGGCTTGTACTGAAGTAGTTATTGGGTTAGAATCTGAGAGGCGCCTGATATACTTAAACATTCTTGAGAAACATTTGTAGAATTAAGCGTATCAAACTTTTTTTTATATAAATATAATCAAACGAAGTAAGTTGTGTTATTTTTGCTTGTAATCAATAAAAAGTACAACTTTTTATTGATAGTAGATCAAGTAGATCAATTGTGAACTTATATTACATATGATGATTTTAAATAACAAATAAGAGTCTCATATTTTGCACCATATAGGTAGAATTGACGTATCTAAAAAATGTCTGAATTACAACTGGAAAGTGAGAAGCATAAAAAAATTGGTATGAGCAGCTGGGCATTAATGCAAGTAGATGATTTGATGAAGTATACTATCTTAGATTCATATACAGGATTAGTAACTCGCAAAATACATCCTATCAGTTCGTTTACTGACGAAAACAAAAAGGCTGCAGAGAAAATTATTTTAAAAAGAATGGTGATTAATGACAAAGAAATTGGAAAAGTAGAAGAAGCATTGAAAACTTTATTTCAGCAGCATAAATTATATTATCATTTTAGCATCAAATATTCTACCTGGGTTAATGAACCCATGAGATTTTATTTAAGAACAATATCTTCTGATTCTCTAGTAAATATTCAAGAATGTAGGCGTTATGAAAATGAAAAAAATGGTCTCAAACTCATTGCCAAAACAGATATTGATAAGAATGTTAAAATAAGATGTTTAGCAGGAATTTATAAAACTATGGATACGAAAAGAGAAGATTTGTTAAGAGAACGAAAACTTAACTTTTCAATTATTCAAAGGACAAGAAATAATGATCCAGTACTGATGTTAGGAACTGCAGCACTAGTAAATCATGATTGTTATCCCAATTGTATATATTTCACAGTTTCGAAACATCTTTTGATTATCTTAACTACTAGGAAAATAAAAAAAGATGAAGAGTTAGTCACATATTATGGTCAAAATTACTTTGGACCCAATAACAAAGAATGTCAATGTGCTACATGTGAAATGAATGATAATGGTTTTTTTTCTGGAGGTAAATATTCTCTTATAATTATTAGATAGATTGTATCAGTGAAAAAATTACCTAAGGTCTGAATGCATACAATTTGTTTCAATGTTTATAAAATCACTCTAGGCAAAAACAGAGAATTAAACATTGTCCAAAATAATGAATATGTAATTAATAATAAATTGCATAAAATTAACGTAAGAGAAGTTAATTTTGTTTCTAACAAGATGGATTTCCAATCAAAAATTGCCAGCATACCTTCTAGCGTGCACCAAAGTAAGTATATTTTCATGATATTTTTCTTTTTTTTTTACTTAGGTATTAGAACTACACTGAAGCACAACTAATTTCCAAATGTATTACAGGTAGTAGTGGTTGCAATCTACATGAAAGCCAAAGTATTGTTCAACAAATTGATGAAAACAATGTAGAACAATTTAAGAATGAGCTCGTTATTAAAGACTGCACCATTCAACAAATTGATCCTAAGCATATTCATATGCCTGATGAAATCTCAAGCTTTTATTCAAACAGTAAACTAGAGAGTAAATCTAGTTTCGATAAGGAATCTGTTGAAAGCTCTCCTAAAAGTTATTCTGCTTTAGATATGAAATCTGATAGTAAGCTTAAAGAGGCTTGTGTGAAAATAATGAGACTTGACACACTAGTTGTCAATTATTACAGTGTCAAGAAGAAGGATGGCTATACGTTTTGTTTATTTTGTAACAATTTTACATATAAATTCATAAAGCACTTAATCAAAGTTCATGCTGATAAAGATATAATTAGTAGATATATTGCCAATAATAGTAATTTAAAAACATGTGCAATTAGTTTTATACGTAATCAGGGCCTAGCACATTTTAAAATACTAACGAAAATTGAGATTCCAGCTGTAAAAGTTAGAGTAGATGCAACCCAAGAAGTTTTAAAAATTCAGTGTGATAATTGTTTCTCCATGTTTTCTAGTGACACTATGTGGCACCATCGGCGATTTTGTTTGCAATTCACTGTATCAAAAATGCTGAAAAAATTGTAAATATTTAATATTTACAATTTTGAAATATATATATAAACATATATTCAGTAAAAAAGAAATTAAAGCCTATTATAAAATTGATATTTTAAAATTATATATCTATGTAATTATTAATTATGAAAATGTACTCAGCCTTTAACTTAGCGGTATGAATTTTTTAATGTAAAGAAAGACATTTATATGTACAATTATTGTTTTATTAGGCTTTAAAATATCGATTAAAAATTGATAATAAATATTTAATACCTGATTAATAATAAAATATTTTTGTCATGTGCTGATATTTAGTAAAAATTGAAAATATATTGTATAAGATCAATAGCAGTTTTTTAAATAATTATAATTTGGTAAAACTTAAAGCTTTGCTAGTTATCCCTTAATCAAGAAAATATTCAGTCCTTTGACCGTAATTTGTATACAAGTACAATTTTGAATCGTAATAAGGACAATGAATAAAAATCATATTGCAAATTTAAAATTTGTTTATCTCACTGAAAAATATTTGCAATAATTTATCTTCCATTTAAATTTTGACTGTATTCATATTCAGTTGTACTCCATCCATCACATATTGAACGGAATTTATTTAAAAACATCTTCGTCTGGATTACTCGTTCTTCAACACATATTACTGAATAGAATCCAGCCAGATTTTAAAGACTACAAAGTGCTTGAAACCAAAGCTTTTAATCTAAAACTTCTTTATTATATTTATAATTTCCAAAGACTTCCAATCATAAAATAATTGTCATCAACACTCAAGATGTTTTGCCATGCATAAGTTTGAAGGGAGGCGTAGTTCAGAAGAAATTTTACGGATCGTGCTGGAACGACAATAAGACTTTGAGTAGACGAAAGCTCCGTACTCCATTAGTAAATTGTTTTTCTTAATAAAAAATAAAGCTTCAATTTTCCACAATCTGTTCCAAACTTCTTCAAGAAACATATTTTTAATTATAACTGACTCGTTGAAACTAAATTTTATTAGCCAAAACGCTTTTCAAAATATTCTTTCAATTCTGTTACTTGTTAAACAGTATAATAACACGAACATCGGCGGAACATGAGCATTTAATTCGATGAACGTACAATTAACAGGAGCGGTTTGTAATAGGTCGTTATATCGACCATGAAAAACCGTGCGACCGTTCCCTAAATCCGATCCCAAATACGATTCGATTCAATTCAATAGTATTTTTATTGGCATAAACTTTTTACAGCCACAACACTATTACCTTGGCTCCGCTGAGGGCGTGTTGAAATACAAGTCTTTAAATATAATATTATTTAAAAAATTTACATCTTATTCGCTATGTGCGGCCGGATGGAGGGGATAGGCGAAACTAGCAAAGCGCGCGCAGTGGCGAACTGAGGCATTTTTTTGGACGTTATTACATGCAGTCTTACGGAGGCTTGACTGAATATTAATTATTTAGTGTATCTAAACAATGAATATGGTAATAAAATTTCTGATGTGTCCTTATAATCCGGTTAATGCAGACTGTTAGAGTTGTACTTGTAGGCATGCGCGCCAACTATGCGAGAACGTCAATAGGTATAACTAATTATTACATTGGTAGCCAAGGTACATGTAACAGGATCAGACCGATTTAATATCATAATGGAGCCACGATCATCTATTACACAGATGTTGCGGACACGCCTGCCCTATTTGATCAAGCTCAGATTATTATGAGAAAGTAATGAACACCAAAACCATGTGTTCCATGTAATTCCCTCATGTCCTTATAATGCGGTTCACGCAGTATAGTAACTAGTAGTACTGGAAAACTTGCTTGCTAGATGCTGCGACAGCGTCGCAATATGAAGAGAAGCAATTTACAGTGCCACGGTCACGCGACGGCCCTCAATATCACGTCAGAGTAATATAGCCCGCTGGCACGACTCTTGTAGAATTTCGCAATACGCTTGCGATCCCAAATGCCTCCTATTTCTGGCGTGTCCTTATAATCCGGTTCATGCTGAGTATTAGAGTTGTACTTCTAGGCATACGCCCCGACTTTGTAAGACTGGCGCAAGGTATAATTAATTAATACCATGGTAGGCGGCGGTTATTCTGAAGGCTCGGACGAATTGATTATCATATTACAGCCAAGATCAACTTACACACACATCTTATGGAAACGACTGTTCTATTTTAACAAATTAAGATTATTATGAGATAGTAATGTACCCGAATACCATGAGTACCATGTTATTCCCTTATGTCCTTATAATCCGGTTCACGCAGGATAGAAACTAGTATTACTGACGAGCATGCTTTGCTAGATGCTGCGACAGCGGCGCAAGATCAAGAGAAGCAATTTACAGTGCCACGGTCCCGCGACGGTCCTCAATATCATTTCAGAGGATTGTATCCCTCTGGAACGACTCTTGTAGAAATTCGAAATACGGCTTGAGACCCCAAATGTCTCCTATTTCTGGCTTGTCCTCATAATCCGGTTCAAGCCGGATATAAGAATTGTACTTCTAGGCAAGCGCTACGAATACGCGAAAACACCACTAGGTACAATTAATTAATACATTGGTATCCAGGGGATATGCTGCCGTTTCGGACCGATTCAATATCACAATATAGCCACGTTCATCTTACACACACATCTTATGGAGTCGTCTGCCCTATTTTAAAAAGCTAATATTATCATGAGAAAGTAATGTACCCGAAAACCATGAGTTCCAATTCCCTTATGTCCTTATAATCCGGTTCATGCTGAGTATTAGAGTTGTACATCTAGGCATGCGCGCCGACTTTGTAAGACTGCGGCAGGGTATAAATAATTAATACCATGGTAGCCGGAGGTTATTCTGCAGGCTCGGTCGAATTGATTATCACATTCCAGCCACGATCATCTAACCGATCAGCTCGGACGAATTGATTAACACAATATAGCCATGTTCATCTTTCACAGAGATGTTGCGGATACACCTGCCCTATTTAATCAAGCTAAAATTATTATGAGAAAGTAATGTACCTGAAAACCATGAGTACCATGTAATTCCCTTATATCCTTATAATTCGGTTCACGCAGTATAGTAACTAGTAGAACTGGCAAGCTTGCTTGCTAGATGCTGCGACAGCGTCGCAAGATCAAGAGAAGCAATTTACAGTGCCACGCTCACGCGACGGCCCGCAATATCATTTCAGAGCAATGTATACCTCTGGCACGACTCTTGTAGAGATTCGCAATACGGCTTGAGACCACAAATGGCTCCTATATCTGGCGTGTCCTTATAATCCGGTTGATGTCGAGTATTAGAGTAGTACTTCTAGGCAAGCGCCACGATTACGCGAGAACGCCACTAGGTACAATTAATTACTACATTGGTATCCAGGGGATATGCTGCCGTTTCGGACCGATTCAATATCACAATACAGCCACGTTCATCTTACACACACATCTTATGGTCTCGTCTGCCCTATTTTAAAAAGCTAAGATTATCATGAGAAAGTAATGTACCTGAAAACCATGAGTTCTATGTAATTCCCTTATGTCCTTATAATCCGGTTCATAGTAAGTAGTAGTACTGGCAAACTTGCTAGCTAGATGCTGCGACAGCGTCGCGAAATGAGGAGAAGCAATTTACAGTGCCAATTTACAGTCCTTATAATCCGGTTCATGCTGAGTATTAGAGTTGTACATCTAGGCATGCGCGCCGAATCTGTAAGACTCCCGCAGGGTATAAATAATTAATACCATGGTAGCCGGAGGTTATTCTGCAGGCTCGGTCGAATTGATTATCACATTCCAGCCACGATCATCTAACCGATCAGCTCGGACGAATTGATTATCACAATATAGACATGTTAATCTTCCACAGAGATGTGCGGACACACCTGCCCTATTTAATCAAGCTAAAATTATTATGAGAAAGTAATGTATCTGAAAACCGTGAGTACCATGTAATTCCCTTATATCCTTATAATTCGGATCACGCAGTATAGTAACTAGTAGAACTGGCAAGCTTGCTTGCTAGATGCTGCGACAGCGTCGCAAGATCAAGAGAAGCAATTTACAGTGCCACGCTCACGCGACGGCCCGCAATATCATTTCAGAGCAATGTATACCTCTGGCACGAATCTTGTAGAGATTCGCAATACGGCTTGAGACCACAAATGGCTCCTATATCTGGCGTGTCCTTATAATCCGGTTGATGTCGAGTATTAGATTTGTACTTCTAGGCAAGCGCCACGATTACGCGAGAACGCCACTAGGTACAATTAATTAATACATTGGTATCCAGGGGATATGCTGCCGTTTCGGACCGATTCAATATCACAATACAGCCACGTTTAACTTACACTCACATCTTATGGACACGTCTGTCCTATTTTAACAAGCTAAGATTATTATGAGAAAGTAATGTACCCGAAAACCATGAGTTCCATGTAATTCCCTTATGTCCTTATAATCCGGTTCATGCTGAGTATTAGAGTTGTACATCTAGGCATGCGCGCCGACTTTGTAAGACTGCCGCAGGGTATAAATAATTAATACCATGGTAGCCGGAGGTTATTCTGCAGGCTCGGTCGAATTGATTATCACATTCCAGCCACAATCATCTAACCGAAAGCTTGGACGAATTGATTATCACAATATAGCCATGTTCATCTTTCACAGAGATGTTGCGGATACACCTGCCTTATTTAATCAAGCTAAAATTATTATGAGAAAGTAATGTACCTGAAAACCATGAGTACCATGTAATTCCCTTATATCCTTATAATTCGGTTCACGCAGTATAGTAACTAGTAGAACTGGCAAGCTTGCTTGCTAGATGCTGCGACAGCGTCGCAAGATCAAGAGAAGCAATTTACAGTGCCACGCTCACGCGACGGCCCTCATTATCATTTCAGAGCAATGTATACAGTACCGGCCATTAATTTTGGATGGGGAATCCATTTTTTGCTCTGACTTCTCACGCGCATATCTTCTTCAATATTTGTCGGAAATTTTTTTTAAAAATATT